AATGGAGGTATTGACAGATTTTATTTTCCTGGGCTCCAAGATCACCACAGATGGGGACTGCAGCCAAGAAATTAAGACGCTTGTTCCTGGGGAGGAAAGCTATGGCAAATCTAGACAGCATATTAAAAAGCAGACACATCACCCGGCCAACAAAAGTGCATAGAGTCAAGGATATGGTTTTCCCAGTTGCAATGTATGGCTGTGTAAGTTGGATCATAAGAAAGGCTGAGTGCCAAAGAATTGATGCCTTTGAACTATGGTGCTGGAGAAGACTCCTGCGAGTCCCTTGGACGGCAAGGCAATCAAACTGGTCAGTCCTAGAGGAGATCAACTCTAACTGCTCTTTAGAAGGCCAGATCCTGAAGATGAAACTCAAATACTTTGGCCACCTAATGAAAAGGAAGCACTCACTGGAGAAGAGCCTAATGCTGGGAAAGATTGAGAGCAAAAGAAGAAGGGGATGACAGAGAATGAGGTGGCTGGATGGAGTCACCAAAGCAGTTGGTGTGAGCTTAAATGGATTCCGGGGGATGGGAGAGGACAGGAAGGCCTGGAGGAACATTGTTCATAGGATTGCAATGGGTCGGACACAACTTCGCAACTAACAACAATAAAGCACATTGGAAAACTTCATCCAGCATGATTAATTAGTTTCTGTGACAGTATAAAGTGTAAACAAAGGCACCAAATGTCTGCCACATACAGGCTGAACATCATACAGTAATTCTGTGAAACTCTTGTGGAGATTATTAATCGTGTTTATCTTTTCTAAACCTACATTCATTTTCAAAACTAATCCAAAGTGTCAGATAAAATTAACAAATAAATCTCAGTGTTTTTCAAATATGAAGTGTCCTTTTAAAAAATTCAGTCCATACATTTTATTAATAGTGTAAAATTAGGCTAACACTGTGGTCTTCATTATTACATACCTTTGTTTTGAATGTCTTTCTAAGATTGTTTTGGTCTAGTATGTAAATTTAAATTGCATGTAAGATTTCTGCTAGAGCTGATTTGGAAAAAATAAAGTTTCAAGATTTTCTCTCTTTTTCTCTCTCCCACACACTTATGCAACATTCAACATTTCTTCTTAAGCTTGTATACCAAATTATCCCTCCCTACCCATTACCCAATTTAATTCCATCCAACCAATAGCTAATGAAAAATCTTTGCATGTATCCTTATTTCTATTAGAGCTTTCCTGCCTCAATCAGGATAAGTTTCAACTATCTCTTGGCTGCAATCTAGGGACTGTCTAGATTTTTTTCCAATCCATGTGGGATGCTATTTAAAGCCTTTCATAGGCATGCAATTCACTTAAGTGCCATTCTTTACATGCATCTAATCACAGCACAAACATGCTCCAGCAATCTCTGTTTTCTGCTCTTTTTACAATATTGCCTTAACCTGATCCCAGATTATCCCCGAGGCAGCCTTAAACCATTCTTGGCTGTTCCAGTGTCAGGATTTTTCCTGTTATTCCAACACACTTTATACTGAAGTACCAATTTACCATCTATCAAAACTTGCCTCCTCTTCCCAGTCCCAGCCCAATGAACAAGAGTAAATTGATTAATTCTTTCTACCAGCTAACATAATAGGGGGAACACATCCAGGGGACTTCACCAGTCACCTTCTTTAACTTGTCCTACAGACAGGAAATAAGAATTCAATCATTTGGCATCATCTTTCCTGTGGCCGGATAAGGATCAACAGAGGGAATACCAAAAATAACACTGGAACATCTTTCTGAAGAGGAGCATGGAAACTGAATTTAGGAAAAGTCCTATTTGGGTTTCTTGACTTGCTCTGAAAGTCCCTGAGATAAAGATGTTTTACCATATAGTTGGCCTACTTTACACACCTCAACTATTTTTAAAGTCCTATCTGGCTTTCTCTGATTCATTGAGGGAGGGAAGGAGGGAGGGAGGGAGGGAGGGAGGGAGGGAGGAAGGAAGGAAGGAAGGAAGGAAATCAAAGCATAAATATGTAAGAACCTTTATTCTTACCTGAGTGATGGAAGAGGGAGGTTCTTGTGATAATTTGCTACCAAAAAAGATACATTAAATATAGGTGGGATGCCAGCAACCAAAACAGATTCTATGAGGTTCCCATGTGGGCAAGATGACCAGGGTTCCTTCTGAAAAACTGGAAAGAAAACACTTTTGGGATAATACTGCTATAAAAGACAAGACTTACCACTTGCCACACTCAATATGCATATAGTATAGATTCTTAAAATAAAAGTAATTGCATTATAATTTATATCAAAACTTCTCTCTACCACTGAAATAAATATCTCTCCAGGAATTTCAACTTGCTCTTCAAAAGTTTCATTAAGTTAAGGGAAATGCTCAGATAAATAAGAGGCCTTTACTGCCAATATGAACCAGCCCTAGAAACAACAAAGAACAGATCCTGCAGAATCTAAGAATTTGCTTATATATGTATTGTATGTAGCCCTGAGTTTAAAATCCTTGGTTCCCTACATAACTGATGTCTCAGATTGGGATATTGATGATATCTATATAATGTTTATGTACCAACTTTGCTTGTTCCAGCTTTTTGCTTCCTTCCCAACTTTCCCAATTGTCTTTCCCATTAATTAGATCCAGAATCTACAACTGAAATGTTTCCCAAATATTCAATAATTATCAGTAACTGTAATTCTATCAAACATTTATTTCTTGATTAAAAAAATATTGCTCTTGTCCCTCCAAATTCATTTATATTTTACTTTTATATTTATCAAAAGCAAAGAAAAGGGGGGGGGAGCAAAACATCAGATTACCAAATACATCTTGATCTGAAACAATGATCTCATCAATGAAAAACCAGGCATGTGTCTCTGTTGCAGCAGCAGGAGCTTCTACATCAACCTGGCACAAAAACACTGAAGAATTTTTGGGAAGATCATTAAAGAATTCAGAACTATACAGACAGTCTCTCCAAAGGCATATGAATTTCCAGCTGAAAGAGAAATATATTTTTGCATTCATCCCCTCAATTTATATTAGATGTCTACTTAGAAGAAAATGTACAACTTTGAATGATAGGACTATTTTTATAACCGCCAGGAAAGCAGAAATAAATATACATTATCTATATGCCCCCCAAGATCGCAGATGATTAGAAACATCAGTATCACACTTTACATGGCATTCAGAAAATGCAAGTAGACATTTTGCTTAACAGTCCTGCATATTTGATTCTATGTTCAGATTTTACTATGGGCAACATCTTAAAAGGTATACTTGACTTTGATAATTTCCAATCAAGTTTCTTAGCAATATTCCTGTGAATTTCCTAAACCAGCTTTCAAACTGTGTTCTATGGCACCATTCATTTCCATGAGAGTTCTGCCTCTTGATCAGAATTCTGGAATTGCTTTTCTTTTCTTTTTTAACAGGTTCCATGACCTGAAAAAGTTTGAAACCCCTTGCTCTACAGCATTTGCCAAATCAAAGTCATATACTCACTGGAATGAAACTAGAGGTTTATGGTTAGGTCTCTATTCTTGAACATAAGAGAAGTTTTCTAGATATTGCTGAAATGTAATTCTCAGCTACTTGAGCCAGCATAGTCAAATGGAGAAGCATACTTAGATCCATATCCAAGAAATATCTGGAAATCAAAATCATCAGGAGAAGTGGTTTTGATTCCCTTTCATTAAGTACTTGTTCCATTGCCTATATGTCAGAAGCATACATATTGCAGTTAATATTAAAAAGAAAAAGACTGTGCATAAAATGAATGTTTATAGATATAGACCTTTCTGGACTGGATTTCGGATTCCATTGGCAGGTCACATGTTTCTTCACAGTATCTAGAAAGGTATTGGAATAAGACACTGCAATGTAGGGGGTATTGCTCTTGTAGCCTTTATATGCAAAGCACAACTGTAAAGAAGAAAAAGAACAAAATTCCCCTTTAAATGATTTGTTTCCAATATGGCTGCCAATAATAAAGGACAACACATTTCCACATTCAGGTTTCTTTTGAGCAACTTACTACTATCCTAAAACATCTGTCCCACATACACAAGTGTATTACACATACCCATCTTTCATCCCTTATCCCTTACACGGATTCAGTTAGCCTTGAGGCCAAATGAGATTTCCTGTCCCGAGTATGGATTGTGTCCATCACCAAAGTCATCCTGTTGATTCAATATTTAGTCCTTTCGCTGCTTTAAACTTCTTGGAAAAACATTACTTACGTGTGTGTATGTAATGACATCATAAGGAGGGATTAATTGAGATGTTTTGATAAGGCTTTTGGGGCTGTAATTGCTGAATCTTCCACAAAAGGGTTCTGTACAACTGACAAGGACTCCACCGTTGACTGGATTCTCAGTATCTATGGCAGATGTAGAAAAGGTAAGGAAAAATTATATGCAAAGTGCATATATAATTATATGCATCCTAGACAGGTGATGGTGAACCTATGGCATACATGCCACAGGTGGCATCCAGATCCCTCTCTGTGGGCATGCCAGGCATTACCCAAACCCAGCTCCACTGCACATGCACGCACGCCTCCCACCAGCCATCTGGTCTTCGGGTCTCTGCCATGCATGGGGTGGGGTGCATGTGGGGACATGTGCATGCATGCATGGGGGGCAGGGTGCATGCATGGGGGAGCCCGCATTGCATTTTGGGGCCTCGTGCAGTGCCCCCGCGCCCTATTTTGGCTTCCAGGTTGGTGCAGGAGGTCTTCCAGGCTCAAAGTGGGCCATAGGGGGTGCACAAGCCCCCCCCCCAATGCCCTGTTGTGGGCCTGGAAAGCCTGCACCAACCTGGAAGCCAAAAATAGGTGGGGGACATGGGGCACATGTGCGGGGGAGGATCATGGGGGAGCTGCATGCACATGCACAGGGGGTTGCATGCCCAGGGCAAAGAGTGCAATGGGGGTTCACGCATGTATGCAGGGGGAATGCAGGAGGGTCGCATGCGCATTGCATTATGGGTGTGGATGCTTTCGGCACACAACAACAAAAAGGTTAGTCATCACTGTCCTAGACAAACCTGAGTGCAAGACTAACTTTAATAGCCCAGTGATATAAGTGGCAGTCTCAGTTCTGCAAAAGAGCATTCATGCCAAAATTCAGTTGCAGCATGTAAAGACTTGCACATAACAATTTTAGTGAAAGAGGGTTCCAGTTAAGCACATAAATTAGAATATAACCGATAATATGTGGTACACATTATACAATTCAAGTGTAGGATGCATATCTAGGTGATAAATAGGAAACCACATGCTGGTTTTGCAGCATTCAAGACCACAAGAAAACAAGGAGAGATTGTGCAAGAAGTAAGCTAACCTATGTATCACATTGCACTTAGTCTACTCTAGTTATAACCGTATGTGGCCAATTTTTATAGATTTTTTTTGCAAACTACCCTCAAAGAGATAGCACATTCTATTCACTTTAAATAAATGAAATAAAGAAATAAAATACCTTTTCATTCAATAATATAATGTATTTCTTGATTTTATTTCTGACCAATATTTTGTGTGTGTGTGTGTGTGTGTGTGCGCACGCACGCGCACGTGTGCACACATGCATGTGCACCAGGGTAGGTTGCTTCCAGTTTTACTACCAGTTTACTTTGTGTGCACCAGACGTGCGCTGCATGCGCGCATGCAGTTCAATGTAAATTGTTCTTCGCGTATGCACAGAACAATTGACAGTGAACTGCACATGCAATTCAAAACAACATGCCAGCAGTGGCAGCAGGGACCAGGGAACTGGTTCAGGGGCGTGGCCAGCCTGAGTCGCTGCTGGTTCTGTAACCCAGGCCAAAAAACCACTACCAGATCAACCAAACTGGGCCAAACCGGAAGCAAGCCACCTCTGATGTACTCACACATTTAGTTTTTGGGGAAGGTTTGCAGAGGTTCCTTACTTTCTTTTACAGTAGCTTTTTGTTTTAGAAATAAAGTCTTTCGAACTGAAAATGACAAGCTTACTTTGCTCAAATCTTGCTTGCAAAAAAATGTTAGCAGATGATAGCTCTATTTCACATTTTACTGAAAGAAGTTCCTCCAGTTCATGATGCATCTGAAAAATAAAATTATGTTGAGTTCTCTTTTTAAAAAGTGCAGAGTTCCAAACCCAACCAGGACCCAATTTAAGACATATGGCCGTCTGAAACCCAACAACTAATACTTTCCCCTACTATAGGTCTAGTTGCATTGTACCAAAAATAAGAGAAATTATTCTGATATCTGCAGCAGATTTTATACTTCCTATGTATACAAAGATATGCATAGTTTTTAATAACATAAAATTTTTTGAAATCATTTACAGTGATCAAGAGTATTTACTAATTTAGCTTGAATTGTGATTCCATGTCAGAATTCTGTCTTTGAGTAAATGACATTTTAAATCCACTTCTCAGAAGAGGATTTAGAAGCTGTGGTTCCTCACTCTTTAAATGTCATGCTTCTGGGGTACCTCAGTTAACTATAAAATGTCATTATAGATTATACAGCTATTTATCACTATGATCAACTATTTTCCTAATTTTTCCTAATGTGTGATCTCTGCTTATAAAATTTAATAACAGTTTTAGATGTTGAAGCTACTGTTATACCAATCACCGCTACCATCCCAATTCTACATTTTGTATATATTATTAATTATTTTATATCCAGGAGTCTGTACTTGATCAGCAGTAATGTTTGTTGCTGGTCACATTGTCCCAAGCAAGACCGAACCATCCTCTGCCAGACAATGTCAGCATCTATAAAGCAGAAAGATTAAGGGTGACTTACAAAGTATATTTATTTCTTCTGAATAAAAATAAAAACAGTACTTTTTAACAACCTGGGATTCTTCATTCTTTCCTAAACCACATAATGAATGTAATATGTAATTTAGAAGAGTTTTGAATTTGATAACCTTGAGTCCCAGTTTAATGTATAGTTTCAGAGCAGCGAAATTTCTGCAAATAGTTTCGTTTAGGGAGGAGGGAATAAAGGAACTCATGAAGTCATCCTGCAAAATGTTTAAGAATCTCTGAAATTGTTGTTTACTATTTTGTAATAATCCTAGCATAATTAAATTGTTGTAAGGTGCTGACAGTTGCCTCTATCCCAGATGAGTGGCATATAAATTTGACAAATAAATAAATAATGAACAAAACCTTTACTCTCTTTGGTTAATTAATCATAAGCAGCCTTGCATCCCTTTGCAGGGATAAAAGGGAGCAGCCTATTTCCCAATTGCTAAGAATGATCCAACATCCAGCTGATGATAAACGTGACCCGACAAAAGGGCGAATGACAAAACCGCGCCCGACTAAACCATGTCGCTAAAACCGCAACATCATCAATGCGCTGACAACAGCGCATCGACAGAAGGGCAATTTACAACAGCGTGTCGGCAGAAGGGCGATTTAAGTTAAGGTAAGGGTTAGGTTTAGGGTTAGGTTTAGGGTTAGGTTAAGGGTTAGGTTTAGAGTTAGAGTTAGGTTTAGCGTTACGTTTAGGGTTAGGTTTAGGTTTAGTTTTACAGCGCACTTCTGTCGCCATGCTGGTGTTGGCGCGATTCAGCGCTCATTCAGAGTGCTTTAGAACAAGCGGTTTTGTCACCATGGTTTAGTTGGGCGCGGTTTTGTCGTTCGCCCTTTTGTCGGTGAACCGATGATAAATTTATTAATGGGTGAAGAAATAAACATGGCTCAGACTCACCAGCAGTCACATGTAGAATACATGGGCAGAATACAAGCAGAAAAAAAGATGACGTCAGGTGGCATCTATATTATGGTGGAAACTGTAATGGACAAAATTTACATATAAATACACTGGGATGGTCAAGATAATATAAGCCTTTTTTACTGCCATTTATGAAAATATAATATCTAAACCTGAGTTAACATTATAATTATAATAAAGGATCCTGTTTTAATAAAACAGAACAAAGAAAATAATAAAAACAGAAAAAAGAAAATAACAAATACACACAGAAAGACACATACACTACATTTTATAGCAATCATTCACATAATCTATGACTTTTATGCAACTCGTTGAAGCAGTGGGACTTCAATTCACAATTTCAACTAGAAAATAAATTCAAGTAACAACATTAATTCATTGTTTTATCAATTTCAATCAATCAATTTTATCAATTCAATTGACAACTGTTATAGGAAAACTGTGCAGAAGTAGCAAAAATTTCAAATTCAGATTATATTCTAGAATTTACCTGTATCTCTGGAAGCTGGATAGCACTGGCTTGTATTCTGTATCTCTCTCTGCGATAAGTACTAACGACATCCGGGTTAAACCAGGTCTTATGCTACTGAAACCCCATGCCCATTCCATTGTTTGGAGATATCTCATGATACACAGCTTCCAAATAGTACATTGTACCAGCAATTAGCTCATATTTCTCTGATTTGGGCTTCCTAGGATGAAACCAATCTTCTTTCCAAAGTGTTGACCAATCAGTGGTGCCCATAGGAATTGATATAACTTCCAACTGTTGACCAAAAAAATGTGAACAGTAAAATGGCTGGCTCAGGAATTCTGAGAGTTGAAGTCCACAAGTCATAAAGAATATTTGATTCAGAAAGCAAGGAAAAATAAAATGATTTTTTTCCAAATTATAATTCCAAGTGTCAAACATGAAAGCAGGAACCTCCATTGAGTTTAAAGCACAGATTTTATTATTTATTACCTCTAAAACAAGAATGTAGTCAACTAATGGTAAGGGTAAAGGTAAATAGATGCTAGATAACTGTCAATAGAATTCAAAGGGGGTGGAGGGGACTGATTATTGTGAAAATGCAATGACTCCAAACTGAAGACATATTTAACCCAGCCTTCCAGCTCAGCTTCTTCACCTACATCTGGTGATAGTAACAAGGCAAGCTATTGCATATAATCAGGGAGCAAAGCCTACACTCACTAGCACTGATGATGTTGGGCAATGAAATGTCTGCAAGCAAGCAACCAAGCTCAGAGATTATTCTACACTTAGAAAGATAATATAGACTCTGTATCAAATGGATTACAAAAGAATTGGCCAGTAGCTACTATTTGCTTCATATCTGAAGTAGCAATTTCAACATTTCTACTTTTTCTGATTGACTATCACAGATTTTGGTTTCAGAAACTCCACACTGAATGCTTTTCCTATCACCTTTCATAAGAGGTGCCAAAAAGACTGGTGGCAAGGTTTTGGCACATTTAGAAGCCATCATGCTACCGAAGAAACATTCTTGAATTGAATAAATCAAATGGATGAAGAAGCAAGTCACTGTTCTGTCTAGAGAAACAGGAAGTTAAGCTGCACTGAATAAACAGTAATCATCAAAAGGTTTAGCTCTGAACATCCAGTGATTCAATTCATTCTCAAATTTAAACTCTGACTGGATGGTGGGAAATGGAAGGATTTATACTCCTTGCAGACAGCTGGTCAGTTGCATTCTTTTAGCAATTGGTTAAGGTCACCTGGAGGTTTATCTGTGTCATGAGAGTCACTTGAGTGGTGCAAATTAGTGTGGGACCTTTTTGGAAATGTTGAAAGGACTATGTTGTAGACTGGAGAAAACGAGGACCCAGATTGTTGGGGGCAATGAGCTGACTCTGTAAACCTCTTAGTGGGCTGTAATAGCACTATGGTGCTATTGCTATAAGAGATAATGTTTAATTTGTTAAAGTCTCAAAATCATTATCACTGGATTTCTTTCACCTTTCCCAGTATCTTTGCCTGTTACAATGTAATGAAAACTAAGTCTGCATTTAGAAAAAAAAAAAACAAGGGTTCTATATCGTTCTGGAAATGAATGGAATATAAAAGATTCATACTCTTTTTAACTTTCTGCTTTAAGGATTTAATGTTAACTAATAACTAATTAACTAATTAACTTTTTTATGACTTCAAATAAATGCTTGTGCATTATTCAAATAAATATGTTGTTGTATATTCAACAAAAACATATTCAGAGACCATTTGGCACATGGGTTTAAGCTGTAATCAAATAGGGCAATAATCCTGAAGTTATTATGATATCTGTTTCATATTTTTTTTCATACTGAACTATGAGATACCAAGAAATAGTTTATACAAAAACAATTTCATTCCTCAAAAGACAAGAAAATATATTCAAATTGGGACACAAATATTAAAAGGGACATTTTTCATCTAGCATTTCTTCTATAACAAATGGTTTAGTACCTAATAAAATATCTGAGATATCTGGGAATTACTGATCTTTTTTATGTGCAGCTTTTGTATCAGATCAGTATGAAGCATTTTCTCTGAATGCGGCCAAATTCTGATATGTTTTATGTAAAATTAGACAAACTGTAACTTTAACTGTCCACTGTTAATCCACCTACAAATCACAAGATATTATTCTGCCTTTTATTGTTATTTTGTATTATTATTTCCGTTTTAATGCTTTTATTTATGGTGCTGGTCCATGACCATAATAAAGATAGATTGACTGAAGCAGTTTGGAAAATCTACTAATTAAAATTGCAATATTTCTTGCATGCCTAGAATTATTTCTCATCACATATCCATCATTCATTTTTTTTTATAACAGAAAAACTTACAGAGCAGAAAACAGGCATGCATGAGCTCTATTTATAATTAATAAAAAATAATACCAATCTAATAAAATGCACTGATATAAGCTTCCAGGTTGAGAAAAATTGATTCCAAAAGCAAAAGAAAATAAAATGACTTTTCCCAATTACAGTAAAAATACTTAATGGCTCAATATTTGACAGATTCCTGCCATAGTCAAGCCTTGTGATTAGTTTAGCTCTGAAAATCAGTTATTTGTTTTTAATTGTAAGCCAGTCTGCAATATTAGCCTCTGTGGGAGAGGAATGCACAATTTAAAAAAAAAAAGAATGGGGAAAATTACAGACCAGTTAAGTTTACATCTGGATACATTTTTGAAGAAGGATCCAGTGGTGGGATTCAGCCGGTCCACACCTATTCGAGAGAACCAGTTGTTAACTTTCTAAGCAGTTGGGAGAAATGGTTGTTGGAAGAAATCTTTTTTTCCCATTTTACAGGGCTAATTCTATAAAGAAGGCAGGAAGGAAACATTCTGGTGTTCTTTCTAGCCTCATCTTTATTGCCCTGCTTACAGAAACTGCCTCTCCGGTTAACCCTTGTTACATTGTAATAGCTAATACAAAGCACCCATCGACCTGAGTGACGTTGAGTTGGCCACGCCAACCCAGTCACATGACCACCAAGCCACGCTACCCAGCTGGTCATTAGGACAGAGAACCGGTTGTTAAATTATTTGAATCCCACCCCTGGAAGGATGACTATGGATTCTGCCATTATATACTTACCTCTTGTGACCTAAAGGTAATATGCTTAAAAATCCAATTTTCTTAGATTTTCAAAAATTAAGTCTTTAGAAAAGACTCAGAAAAAACTGGAATAAAAATTTTCCCCAACTAGCTAAACAAACTGACAGTAAAAATAAATGGGCAGTCAAGGATATATATTGGGGTGAAAATTGTTAATCTATTTGTCAGTGACATGGAGTTAGAGCATTCACTGAACTAGCCACATTTGCTGATAACATCAAACAAGATGGTGGCAGAAAAGTTTGTTTCAATTATACAGACACAGGTTGACTCTTTTTGACTTCCCTATAGATATTCCTACATGGTAAAAACAAAAAGAAACGGGGGGGGGGGATCCAAAAATGAATTTCCATATTGGGGATGGATATTAAAATAGCAGTCATTTCAATATAAGCAAGTCTGCAGTGATAGATATTGAAGTTAGAAGCCTAACTTTGTAAATACAGTGTATACAATTTGCTAACATGGTCTACATTAGTGATAAATAACAAAGTAAATAATCATTCTGGTAGATGACTAAATGAAAACATTGCACATTGTAAAAAAGGACATTTTGAGGGCTGCAGGGCATTAGTGAGTAAACTAGCCTTCTTTATATTAGTTCCTACCTTATTTCTCCAGTCTTACTTCAATTCTGGCAACAGAATAAGAGTTTTATTTCAATGTCTTTTTGGTTCCTGTTAAGTGTGGCATAAATCTTCCTTTGCTTGAAATGTATCTTTTCTTTTTGTGATTGTCTGTTTGGTTTTCACATTATTGTTTATTGTTATTTGGGAAGATCATTGTTATTGACAATGATGTTATAAGTCACCGTTAGTCCCTCGAGGCTGGAGAAATGTATTATCAGTACTGCAATATAAATATATTAACAAACAAAAAAATTCCAGGAAACATTAAGAAAAGTGGTGTAAAATAAAATTGCTACTATAGCAATGTTTATATACAAAATACTGTTGCAACTATAAGTGAAATAAAACAAATTCTTTTAAGCAGAAAATTATAGAACTAAAAGATATGAGATAAGGCAGCTGAAGTGAAGAAAGGAAGGAAGGAAGGAAGAAAGGAAGGAAGGAAGGAAGGAAGGAAGGAAGGAGAAAGAAAGAGGGAGGGAGGAATGTCAGAAAGAAAGAAAGAAAGAAAGAAAGAAAGAAAGAAAGAAAGAAAGAAAGAAAGAAAGAAAGAAAGAAATAAATTTCATTTAGAAAAGCTAAGTAAGACATAGAAAGCAATGTTTTGCTAGGACTAATATTTTTGGCAGTGCTGGAGATCATCTCCAGAACCAAAGCAGCTGGGGAAATGTAGTTGGTATTATGAAAAAGAAAGCTAGAAAAATAGGGCTGAGAACTCCTTTAAAATCCCTATGATATGCTATCAGTACACATGCCCTAAAACATTCTGCAAAGTACAACTAGTTACTGCAGATACTTTCTCAAAGCAGGGAAAAAATATTGTACAGTCTCAGTTTTTGGAGACTGTATTTTGGAGCGAAAACAAAATAGAACAAAAAGTTAACAGGATGTTAGCCAAACAAGCAATCAATATTTTCTGTTTTGGATCAAAAATAGTTCTGATATTTGGGAGCAAATCTGAGTTCTGAAGATATGTATCATTAGGAATATTTCCCCTTAACAACACTGAACTAGACAGTGAGTCCCCCTCTCATGATTTAATATAAGTATCTCACAATCAAGCATTATTAGGTAGCTTCCTGAGCTATTGTTCTAACCAGCCAATCAGAGCACTTAGAGCCAATCCCTCATTTGAATGGCTCCCATTATATAAGTGCATAGCTAGAATGAGATCACTATCATTTGTAAGGGGGCAAGTAAGCTGAACGGGAGGGGTAACAACCAGCAAAGTCATGGCTGCTTTCCAAAGAGGCAGGAAGGCCTACTTCCGGAGGAAGAGGAGGATGCGCCAAAGGAGATACCGAAAGTTCCTAAGTAGACGAAAGAAGCATAATTCTAGGCGAGGTAGGAAAACACGAACCAGACACATAATGAGATGTGCAAGGAGCGGCTATCGAAAGAGGCGTATGCCTGTGTCCCGATATCTGGACCGAAGAATCAGAGACAATGTGCTCTCAGCCCAAAAAGCCAAGCATTCAATGACTTCCTACAGGGGCAACATCTATCACAGGAAGCCCCTGAAGGTAGGTAGACCAAGAAAGAAGAAGCATTATAACCGTACACGTTCAGCTTTTCTGAAAGCCAGACTGAAGAAGCAAAGAGCTAACAAGAAACGTGCCAAGCATTCTGCTCTTGAGAAAAAAGCCAAGAGAAGAACACGTTATTCTGATGAGGAGGTTTTCTACAGCATGGCCAACTCTTCCATGCCAAAAGCAGCATCAGAAGAAAGACCAACAAAGAAACACACTGTACGCTTCACAACTCCTAGCAACACAAAGACCGAGCCCCAAGAGGACCCCTCCCTTGATAATCAATCAAGCCAGCAAACAATAACACCCAAAAAACGGGGCAGACATTCAGCCACCCCTGTTTGCAAAAGCCGTTAATCTAGAATAACATCCCTCTTCTCTGAATAACCGCCTGCAGGCCCCTGGAAAAGAGAAATAAGAGGAAAATAACATACCGGCCTGTCTTAAAGATCCAAGAGACCTTATAACTGACTTTTGATGAAACCACCTTCACCCCTACCAATCTGGAATAAAAAAAATGAATTTGCTTTATCAACAAATTAGTTTGATTGACGACTGAAAAAGGCATTTGGACAATTGCATGAGAATCCGCTGGAAACAAAAGAGAATAACTTAAGTAAACCTACTCCACTTGAGAACATTTATTTCCTTAACAACGAGGAAGCCAGTTTAATGAAAAAGCAGAAAACTAGAGATTTGCCATAATTTGGTAAAAAAAAAGGATTGACTAACTGAAGGTGTGTTTTCCTCTCCAAGGAACATCTTAAAATAGTAATAAAGCTGGATCTTTTGAAATATGTGTTGTGGAATTCCATCAAGCACGTATGGACAAAATGGGGAAAAATACAATGGAGAAGTGATTATTCCTTCTCCTACTGCACTGTGTGGTGGCACAATGGTTAGAATGCATTATTGCAGGCTAATTCTGCTGCCAGGAGTTCAAGCCTGATGGGCTCAAGGTTGACTCAACCTTCCATCCTTCCGAGGTCGGAAAAATGAGAACCAATATTGTTGGGGGCAATATGTTGACTATGTAAACTACTTAGAGAGGTCAAAGCACTATGGAACAGTATATAAGTCTTAAGTGCTATTACTATTGCTATTTACAAATCAGCCACTGATAAATATCTGTCTATTAATGTTAATTAGTTCCTGACAGATTTAGCCTCAGTCCCCAGGCACTAAAGCAGCATTTGTTTAAAACTCAGTTTTTTTGTTTATTTAGTGTATGTTATATCATACATGGAATAGCAATATAAACATTTCACTTAAATTCCTTTGAATCACTTGATTCACTGGCAGGGACTGGGAGTGGGAATGATAACAGTCTATTGTAGACAATCATTTGATATAGTGAATAAAAATCGCTACAAACATCTAAAACAGTTGTGCTCTCATCCAGTACTGTATTGTATTGGTAACAAAATTCCAATCAATTTATATTTAGCAGAGAACCCAAGCCTGCCAAAAGTTCCATTCCATAAAAGGGAACCTCATCATAAGAAATGGTGATATACTTGAAATAAATATAGTTTGGTTTCCAGATTATTATATATACATAAAACTGGGTTGCAGTTCTCTTTAGATTAAGATCTATCAAAAGAATTGCTTATTTCCTACTTTACCCATCTTGCACATAAATTATAGATCTGTCTCAGAACTTAGGTTTTTATTCCAGATTTTTTTTCCATATCTGAAGCTATCCAATTCATTTTAAGTAGCTATGTTTGGAAAGTCCATAGTTAATTAAAAGAGAATGTATATTCCTTTCATTTCAAGCAAGGCCAAAGTTCAAATTCGCAAAAGTGGAATTCTATGGACAGTTAATCAAGGACATTGTTTTACCATGTTGGTTTTTGATAGCTTGTCATATACCTTTTTTCTGGGATCATCTGAGAGATTTAGTTACAAAGAAGTGTTGCCATTTGCCTGAATTCAAAATGTATAATTATTTGTCTCTGGTGCCCCAAAAAAACCATGCAGTTGTGCATTGGATAGCAAAAACAATGATATTCAGCTACCTAATCTCAAACAAGATTCTTCTGTTGAGTCTAAGAGATGTAATTTGAATTAGTTACCATATAGTAATCCTTATTTAACTTAAAAGATCTTCCTTTTTTAAAAGAATCATAAAGGCATGTTCACTATTTCAACCCAGAATATTAGAAATTTCAAGAAATGACTCAAGAAATGGCAAATAAATCTTCTTTATTTAGGAGCTGTGGTGGCGCAGTGGTCAGAATACAGTATTGCAGGCTATTTATGCTAACTGCCGACTGCCAGCAGTTCGGCAGTTTGATTCTCATGGTTCAAGGTTGACTCAGCCTTCCATTCTTCTGAGGGTGGTAAAATGAAGAACCTGATTATTGGGGGCAATATGCTGACTCTGTAAACCACTTAGAGAGGGCTGTAAATCACTGTGAAGCAGTAGATAGGTCTATTGCTATCGCTTTACTGCTGTTAATGTTTTGAGAATATGTTTCTTGATTGAACATGTCTGCGTACCTGAGGAAACAGTGAATCCATACCAAAAACAATGGATAGCAATGGAAAGAAGCCATGACATTTACCAGAGCCCTTGGTATTCTAGTCAAGCATTCACTCTATAAGAACACTAGTGCGTAATGTTTTCATAACTAAATAGTGATGCATTTCCTGATCTTGATCATGTAATGGGGAAAAATGATCACATTTTAAAGAAAGGATGGAAGGTTGACTGTAGTTTTTACTCTAGAAAATAATCTTAATTATGTTAGTTGTAAAATCTATGGAGATTCCCAGTCATCCAGGTCATGGTTGTACCAAAGGTGCTTTTCAAGAGGCAACTGAACTTTCTTTGTGTTTCTTTGAAGATGTTTCACTTCTCATCCAAGAAGCTTCTTCAGAGCTAAAGAAGCTTCTTGGATGAGAAGTGAAATGTCTTTAAAGAAAAGCAAGAAACTCCAGTTGCATCTTGAATAAACACTTTTATATTATCTGTATTAACTAATATATGGCAATTTTAGCATTTATATCTATACATGTAATATTTAATCCCCAAATATATTACTGCTTTCTTAATTTCAACTATTATACTAATCCTTCAACTGATTTGTTTATCACATATACTTGGGAATAAACTGAGATGTATACATGCCAAAATACAACCCACAATTGGGTTTGGCTTACCTGCAGATGGGCTTATTAAAGAGTACATCTAGTAATACTTTTTTTCAAGGTCTCTGTATTTGCCATATTTATTCATGCATAAAGAAATCATTGAATTGTTAATCAAAGTACCATGAAAAATGTGGATTAGATTATTTGCAGGTGGCAATTTTTTCATAATAATTTGGTTAAAAATGCAACGGTCCCCTTATCCATGAATGGTTTTATATGTAAATATATATAATATTCTACATTTGTATTTTTCTCCTTTACGAACATCTATATGTTGTTTCTAGGATTCAAAAAATGACTTAATGACACATAATCAATCAATCAATCTAAAACCTGTTTTAGGCAGACAGCGTTCCAAGCCAATTAAAATGCCGTTTGAAATTGATTAGATAAATAAAACAGTGATTAAAATGGAGATTAGCTTGAAACTTTATACATATAAGGGCTGTGCAGCACTTCAGATTCAGAAGTAAATGGATGCCTGTAACTTCTTAAAGCTTCTCTACAGCACTGGCGGCAGCTCTGGATTCCATAATGCCACTTCGAGCTGTGACCAGTTAACCAAATGAGAGAGACCTAATGGTAAGTGACAAACTAATAAATAAAACTTCAAACATTATTATTACTATTTACCGTTCACTTCATATTTCCAACCTGAAATATTTTTGAAATAAAGAAGATTGTATAGGATAAAAAGTCACTTTATAGGGGACATGGATGATATAAACTAATAAATAAATATTGATATTCCTTTTCATTCGTACCAGGTTCAGATATTATTAGTATATCACACATGCTTTCAAACCCATAATAAGGACAAATATATTAAAATATACAATAAATTACCTTTTCCTTTCGCTCTTTCTTCATTGTGTAACTTTATGGCAATTTACTAACTGATTGCCAAATCGTCCCTAGTTTCTTTTTGTTTGCATAATTATAGAGCATGTGGCTTGGTATTTATCTATTTACACACTAGGAATAGTTCTTTGAAAACAGAAAGGTTGTGTAGCCTGAGAACAAAAGGTCCATAATTTTGTTTTGATCCTTGGCCACAAACCTTTTTAATTTTTTTCAACATTGTCTGATTTCAGCACTTAGTTTTGAAGGAATGCTGCCTGAGATTCAGGAGATTTTAAATTCCATCAGTCTGATCTCAACTTCTATTGAACTGTGCTTGCTACTGCAATCTGTTTCTAGTAAAAAGTTGTAGAGTTTCTAAGGCATGTCCTTCAGTGGTCGGATTCAAAAAAATTTACTACTCGTTCTGTGGGCCTGGCTTAGTGGGCATGGCATGTTTGGTGGGCAAATCATGCTTGGTGGGTGTGGCAGGGAAAGAATACTGTAAAATCTCCATTCCCGTCCCACTCCAGGGGAAGGATACTGTAAAATCTCCATTCCTTCCCCACTCCAGGGGAAGGTTACTGCAAAATCCCCATTCCCTCCCAATCCGCTGGGACTCAGGAGGCAGAGAATTGATGAGGGCGGGGCCAGTCAGAGGTGGTATTTACTGATTCTCCAAACTCAAAATTTCCACTACCGGTTCTCCAGAACTGGTCAGAATCTGCTGAATACCACGTCTGATGTCCTTGATTCCACCCACCTACAGATTGTGGTTTTCTTCTGTGTTTACTATTCTCAAACTTGCCAAGCATAGTCATTGCTTTCTAAGTCTATCCTCTATTTACATAATATACCCAACTTTTCTTTGCTAATCATTACCTTTAGAAACATTTATTTTCTATTTTGGGGTTGTTGCAACCCATGATGTTTTAGTAAAATCATATCCATAATTTGAACAGGGACGTGCAGTCACTAGAGGCAAGGGAGGCGGAGCCTCACCAGTCTCCTCAGGAAAAAGAAAGAAATTTAAATATTTTTTTTAAATAATTAAAGCCAAGATAGTTGCTACCAGATTCCAGGTCACAGTGGCTTGGTGTCTGCTTAGTGTTAACCAAAGCAGGAGGCGAGAGAACTCGAGGCCTCTTTTCCATAAGGAATTTTTCACCTTCTAAAAGTTAAGAAAGAGTTAAAAGGCAAAGAAGTTCATATGGAAAAGAGGCACTAATTCTCCCGCCTCCTGATCTGGAAGCAGCCAATCATGTCTTCTTGAGCACGCTTACGTTGGGCGGGGCGTGCTTCAGAGGAGAGAGGAGTGGGAGAGAAGGAGGAGGCTGCCTTTGCTGCAGACCCGGGTGCTTGGCTGCTCCCACAATGCAAATCCCCCCCCCCCGCTGAGGCCAACCGCTGCCCTGCTGAGCTGCTTCGCAAAATGATGCCCAGCTGAGCCTCACCAGGTATAAACTTCACCGCACGTCACTGAATTTGAAAGAGTCAACCTTCTTTTTCTTATACTCAAAATCCACCTTTCCAAGTCATGCATTACCACTGGAATTTGAAATCAAAGAATTCCAAAGCATATATGGCAAAGACCATTCTAAAAGAGGTATTTTGCTATTCTTTTTTGCTCAGAAGAATCTGATTGTGGATCAGACAATCTGTAACTCAGCAATATCTGGAGGGCCACAAGCTTCCTAGGCCAATTCTTAGATAATGTCATCCTAAACCGTGTGAAGCAACTGCTTATCTAAAAAAAAAATACCCAGCAGTTGGAACAGGTATTCAAAATACCTTCAAAGTTTATTGCGATCCAGGTTCCACCACCAAGGCTGCCAGCTTTAGGTTCCATGATTAACTTTTCCAAGTTAACTAAAAAGAAAGAAAATACCGTCTATTATATAATGGCAGAGACATCCACTTTTCTGATAAATAGGTTGCCCTTGATTAATGTCGGTAACTGGGACTAGAATTTTTGCCACAAAGTGGTACAGTTATAACATATGATGCCATGTGATGGCAATATGAGCCATTCCCGTTGCTTTGGTTAAGTGAGATTTTGAGTGGCTTCCAACAGAAAGAGGAAGGTTCACAGGGACCCACAACAGTGTGGTATGAATACGGTGGAGTCAGAGATTACTGCAATTGCTATTCATTTCTCTTCTATGTCCCTTGTTTTATGTTTATATTCAAACAAAAGAAATCATATGCGATTTTCCCTTGCTTGATAGGATCAAATAGACAGACATACCTCTGTAATGAATATGTTATATAATGATGTTGCTTCATAAAGTGGTTTCATAGAACTTACCTGCAACAAAAAGAAGCAAAATCTTGAAAAAGAATGACATTAAAAAATCCATCTTTATCCTCCTCCTATGCTTTCAATTTGAGACTTCCTGTTGAGATTGTGATATCATAAATGATCAAAGCTCAGCAGTTTTTCCCATTTTCCCTGCAAGAGAAATATACTCTGCAGTCCTTTATTCACATTAGATCCCTTTGCAGCTTAAAGATAGATGCCCAGTAGACATGTAACACCAGATCAGAATAGTTATATAAAACCAGGGGAAAAACCTGTCAAAGAGAAATTTCTTCTCATGTCTTTAAATCAAAGGCATAGAAGATAGATCTGAGAAGATACAGAAACATTCTGCTTCCCTGCATGTATGCTTGCCCATCATGCTATTCCCTTTTGGGATAAGCAGCTTTATGCAAAGCACAGAAAAGGAATGAAAAATAGTGAGCCAAATAAATTAAAGGCTGAGATAAGAAAAAAAGGGGAAATATAGCTAAATCTGGCTTGTGCCAACATTATGCATCTCCCTATTGCTCTATTCTTACAGAATTACCTTTACTTCTACCATACTATAGACAGCTTAATTTGTTGCCTTTTGCCTTTAATTTTGTTTATCTAGCCCTTGTATGTTCTGTCCAAATACAGCTCATTTATTCTATAGATAAGACCATATTACTTTCTTTCTTAATGGCCCCTGAATGTCCACTATCATTCAGCACCCATTCATTCTTGACCCAATGTCTACTTGCACTGCATTCAACATACTTTTATATTTTTCTTGGCATACAAAGAAAGCAAAGTGGGCAAAGTATACTCTTATATACCATCTTTTTTGCTTTTTTGATTTAAAAAAATCATCCTTTGTAACGTATTAGTTTCTTTTTCTACCAAAATTTTCATGTCTAATAATTTCCATTCATTTTTCTGTCTTTAGTAGGGGGAAAAATCCAACAAAATGCAAAATGCATATATCTTTTTTTCCTTTTCATACTGATATAAAACTTGTAATCTTCCATTCCATTCCTTCTATCAACACAACAGTCTTGGTCTTCAGTGCATCATCTTTCAACTCCACACCTCTGACAGTGTCATACAATTTAAAACTTACTGAAAATCATTTGGATTCACAGTCATTCACATAGCCTCCTTTACAAAATCAAATGCATAATCATATGTTAACATTTAACAAGATCACATAAATTCAGTTATAAATAGAATAAACAACAAACCCCTTCCTTCAGTTTCTTTTTTTCCACTGTCTATTTTCTAATACCATTCTCAAATACTGTTTCCTACACATCTCATACTTTCTTCTCTTGTACTGCAAATTCATTATTATTTCTTTTACTTCTTCCTTTTCCATTCCAGTTACGATACTATCAAATAACAGTCTGTCCAATGCTCAACATTTCTTATTACACTTATATCCCTTCTTAATATTCTAAATCTTTCCCCATTAAAAAAAATCAAATGAATCTTGTTTTCATATTTACATTTATTCTTTTGCCATGAGTACATATGAATAAAGTTTATTTTTTAATATATTTAAATATTGTATTGACATATTTAAAATAAAGAAAGCTTTTTAAAATCAACCCTTGCCAAAAAGTCTTCATTTTGGTGTCTCCAAATAATCCACTCATTTTGTTCTATGTCTCATTTGGTCAAATGAGGTTTTCACAGAGTATTTTTTTAAAATTAAGATCTGTCTAAGTTACCAATCACACCTATGCCATGTGCAGTTTTCCATAGTGTCACATTTTGGCCAGTATGCCACAAACACAAACTTTTTTCTAAGGCAACATCCCACCATTCTATGTCAGTAGCTAACATATAGTTACTCTCATCCTAGGAAGTATGTGCAGTGTCTCAGGATCCCAAGAAATTTGAATATGACTTAAACCATCTCTCTTCCATAAGAAGAAAATCTCAGGCAGATTTTCTGTTTCTATTTGAAGTAGTGGTGCTTATCTATCAAGGTATTTACAGCTTGGACCCCTAACTAAATTCTTATGGTTGTATTAATCTGCCTATATTGGGATCAATCTATTAAGGTTTCACCTTCAAAATCGCAGTATTACTGTATGTATCTCATAATGAAATTCCCTCCCAAAGAATTAATAAATTGGCTTCTTTGTTATTATCCTTCTAGTACCAGCTACATCGGTTGGTTTTAACAAAGCATTCTGTAGATTTAATGGATTTGTTTAATTTCACTGTTGTTGCAAACAGATCTAAAAACCTGTTTGGCAATATATAAATTTGGAGTTAGAAGGAGATTTCAAGTATTTTCACTTCATTCACTAGTTATATGGAATGTTTTGTGGATAACAATTTATTTATTTAGATAAATTTACAATGTTACAAGATTTCCCAGCTTCAGAAAGAATAACACAAAAACCTTTGTGCTAAGCAACAAATAGTGGTGTATACAGTCCCGGCTACAAAATCTTTCATATTTTTCTATGTCAGTAAGTGAACAGCATTAAGAATGGGAAAGCACATCTAGACACCCATATATCATGGAGTCTCTCTCTTTTTCCCTTCAGATCATTAATCTACAGTAAAACAACCATCATCAATATACCCATTTCAAAATTAATAAATTTTGAAACCTACCATTATAGCATTTGTTTTTTCCTCTTTTTTGATCAAATATTCTGATTGTGGTAAACAAAAATTCAGAATTAGTTGTTCATTACAGTTCCTTTAAATATATTTCATTTTGTTCCATTTTCTTTTCTGGTACTGAATCAAAAATGAGAGGGGTGGAAAAAACCCATCCAAATATTACTTTCTTTTGAAAACAGGAATAAGTTGTTCCATGATCATTCTGAATGCTTGTGATAGAAAAAAAATAAACGGGGAAGAAAACCCATTTTCCCTCAGGCCAAGCTTAATGATTAACATAAGCTACTTATTCTATTAAACAAACTTGCTCCAAGTTTTTTTTTTAAATAATCAGAGTGATAAGTAGCTTAGAATATTTCTGGTAAGACAACAAGCATCTTATTTGATGTTTTTAAGTTTTTTTAAAAAAACGATTACATTTTAATACTTTTTTGCTTCCTATCTATGAACATTAACAGACCTTTATATATTAAACAGGTTGAGTGAAAACAGGACATGCTTCACTCAGGCATGGTGACCTCATTCTTTAAAAAAAGGTATATTTTTTTCATTATTCAGAAATGTTACCTAGAATGAAGCCACTTTTAAATGCATGAACTCTAAAAGCACTATGCTTGTGTTGTTATATTAGATGCACTGAAAAATTGGGAGATATTATACATCTCTGTCAATTCCAGTACTATGAGTAAATACTGATGGCCATTAACTCAACCCAATGAAGGCAGAATTGCTGTCACTTCCAAAGCCCATTGACTCTATGACTGTACCAACCATGACTCCCAGTAGAATTGTCCTCTTCCAGAACCAGCATATTTGCAATCTGGGGGAGAGGGCTCCTCTTGGACTCATAGCTCCTGCTAGATGAGCAGATGAAAGACATGTGTCAGTTCTACCATCTTTGGCTTAGGACCTTGCCAGCATCTTGCCATCAAAGGCTAGGGGCAAAAAACATGTATGGGACAGAGATGGGAAATTGGGAGGGAGCTGACATCTTGATGGAGACCCGAGATGCACAAAACCAGCCTGCCCACTTCAAGGCCACAAAGCCTGAGAATGGATTGTGGATTGCTCCAAACATCCAAGCAATTCTCAAAACACTTTTATGGGTCTCTATTGGCAAAAGACAAACTGGTCAAGGGGGGACAGCTGGGATGAGGGGGAAATGTTTGTAACCTTTTGTGCAGAATCTTAGTTCTAGCCTGATTTTACTGTAGCTAGTAACCTCTAGTAAAGGAACTATCACTTCAGCCAAATGGAGTTGAGGGTCTTTCTTTCCTAGGAACCTAACTGGGGCAGGTCTGAACACCATGGCCAAGAGATTCTTTGGCCAGTTCTACCGGATGCACTAGTTACGACTTTAAAACAGGAGGAGCTAAGATGGTTGTCATCTCTCATCTAGGCTTCAATTTTTTGTCTACATGGGGATATCCTTCATGACTATTCAAAAACTTCAGCTAGTTCATAATGCAATACACATGCTTATTAATCAATTATAATACTTATATTACACTAATATTGTGGGAGCTGCATTGACTATCAGTGTGCTTCCAAGTGCAATTCAAGATTTTGGTGGCAGCCTTTAATTCTTGAAACCTGGTACTTAAGAGTCCACCTTTTGCAGATACCTTCTGCTCACCTGACCTGAACAACAGGGAATCTACTAATGATTCCCACCTCCCAGGAGATGTGGCAGTAGGAGCTAAGAATGGGTAGTTCCCTGAGGTAGCTTTTCTCTATGGAATAGGTTGCCCACCTCCCCCCCCCAAGGCAAGAACAACCCCATTCTCATGACCCCCCAGAAGCTGGTAGAAATCTGGATTTTCCAGAAGGCTTCAGGGAGTGACTAGAAAGCCTTTGACACCCACAATGTTGCTCCATGAATACTAATTATATGATGATATCACTGCATTTAATTAAAAACCCTTCTACCTCCAATCCAATATATCAGCAGTTTCCAGAGAAATGTGTATGCGTGCACTAATATAGTGTTTTGAAAGAAAATAAAATGTTCAATTCCTGCCCCAAACAAGATTTCAAGCTTAACTAGGGAAGATTTAGAGCTTTCTGGGCACTGGGTGGCGGTGCTGAGTCACAGTTGAGAAAATGGGACCAATTCTGCACAAACAACATTGTCTGCAATCAACTTAGAAAATAAGATTTTTGTAAGCAACTACTTTTAGCACCAGAGCAAAGTACAGACATGGAATCCCCTTCTTTAGTTATAAAACTAATTATGTAGAACAACTGCATTATATAGATGAGGATGGAGCACTGAATTAGGATACATTTATTAGCCTTCATAAATATTAGTTAAATAAGTTTATAATAGCTAGAAATACTGTTAACGATTAAAATTAAGACCACAAATTATCAAATTCACATAATTGAAAGAAAAAGTTCTTTATTACAATGAATATCTAACCCTTAAACTTGTTGCCTACTTGATTATTATTTTTTCTTTGAATTTGGGAAACATTATTACACTTAAAAAAAAACTAGGGAAAATTTTTAGTCCTTTCAATTTTTTACCAAGAAACCCTTGTGATGTTATTCATATGCAAGTGCACCTGTATATTTTGAAGTAGCGGGGCAGCTCCCCTCCATGTGCAGAAACAGGGCACTGGATCGGAAAGGCTCCTGATCTGAGCTTCCTTTCTCTGGCCCAGCAAACTGGTCCCGCTCCCCATCATCATGCTAGAAAGTTAGAAATGCTTGGTAATTCAGCACATGGAAGAGAGGCAGTGCACTGAACTGGAGAAATGAAGCTGGGAGAGCTTCCTTTCTCCAGCTCGGCATGTTAATTTCCCTGCCTGCCCTTGGCTAGAACATTTTCATTTTTCCAGCCTTGGGTTAGATAGAAAGATTGCTGGTAGTCCTCAACATATGACCACAATGAAGCCCAAAATTTATGTTGCTAAGTGAGGCAATAGTTAAGTG